TGTCTCCATTGTCACAGAAAGATTTCTATGTTGAGAGCTACAATTTTAGATTCCAACTAAGTAATTTTTTATTTCAAAGTTTAGATTATAGACTTAGATTGCGACAACAGCCCCATGGACGGCTTAATGACCACGCTCTATTTCTTATTCCGTCAATTACAAAATTGTGTCTACTCATTGCCAATGAAAGTTAGTAAACTTCTGTCGTGAAGAAAGCTCCTACACAAACATGATCGCAATACATTCGATTAACTGTTCTTGCGAAGGGAAGCAAGATGAGTTTGTTAAGTAAAAATACCAATTACATAAATAATATCTGAGATATTTACGAAACATTTATTGTTCATTACAAACAACGAATCGTTTCAAACACAATAATTGTTTTCCATTCAAACAATAGATTACGCTAAACACAGTACCCACACGTTTTAGGACATTGCTCTTTCATAAGGTCCATATATACGGCATTTTTGCATAATGATACCCTCTGTGGGCAATCCGATATACCAGTTTGGGGATGGACAAAATCTTGGCAGGCTGAAGATTTCATGGTCACATTGAATTTCTGTGTTAGCAAAGTGCAGTAAGCGGCTTACTTGTTGTTGCTGGTCCCACATTATTAGTTGCACCATTACATTTGTTGCACGTCAGTGGACATTGTTCAGCCATTACTTGGCGGTAGATAGGATTTTCACACAAATGCTTACGTTGAGGACAATCCGAGACGCCTGTTACTGGATGGACATAGTCCTGGCATGGTGGAGGTGCTGAATACGAATAGGTTGAGTGACTCAAACATTTCTTATTTACCCAAAGAAAGAAATTATTTAGTTGAGTATAATACGATATGACTTTACCGAACTCAGGCAGGCCTTTCAAACATTTGTTATGTTTTTGCATGCCGATAATCACTGCATTCGGTCAAATTATGACAGCGTCTTCATAAAGGTTTGCACCTTGTTGTAAATGATTTTTCTTAGGGTTTATGTGAACGTTTCAACGTTGGAATAAA